AGAGCAGTCTCCTGTTAAAAGTCTCCTGTTAAAATACTTTTGCTTAGTTACCCTTGTTCCCTCTTTCTATGGCTGTAGAAGCCACGAGTGGTTGGGATCACCCACAGTGGGCTGAATCACCCACAGCAGTTAATGGAATCTCCCTATAAGGGTCCAGATTCAAAGACCTGTTAGGATGCACGTGACCTGATTCGATTTCAGAACAAATCCACAACTTCTTCAAAGCCCAGCGTCATGTGTGGATCCTGGAACACCCACTGCATCCCACATAAAACGCTTGTTGTTACCAATGGATCACATGTTTGTCACAGAACATCTTTTCTTGTAACTGTAAAAGTTCTTAAGTTTAGTGCTGACGTAAACATGAAATCCATTCCATGCCCCTACACNTAGAAGCCACGAGTGGTTGGGATCACCCACAGTGGGCTGAATCACCCACAGTAGTTAATGGAATCTCCCTATAAGGGTCCAGATTCAAAGACCTGTTAGGATGCACGTGACCCGATTCGATTTCAGAACAAATCCACAACTTCTTAAAAGCCCAGCGTCATGTGTGGATCCTGGAACACCCACTGCATCCCACGTAAAACGCTTGTTGTTACCAATGGATCACATGTTTGTCACAGAACATCTTTTCTTGTAACTGTAAAAGTTCTTAAGTTTAGTGCTGACGTAAACATGAAATCCATTCCATGCCCCTACACAAGGAAACTCCCAATTTGCCAGAAAATTGTCCAGTTCTTGACTCTCGCAGATTTCTTGGCAGGTAAACAAGTCTGTCATACAAACATCCCACAATGGCCTTAAAAACATCTTGAAAAATGATGTGAGCAGTTGATTCTGCAACGGTCAAAAACGAACACCCATGTGCCAGTCTGTAAAGACATAAAGCCAACTGGGCAGCAGGTGGAGTAGGGTGAGGTTTCATGCGAGTGGGCTCCTTCTTGATGAGGTCTTTAATTTTGCCCAGAATAAATTCAACCGTGTCTCAAGACACCCTCAACCTTTTCTTGAAAGAGGCTTCGCCCCAGATTTGGTATCTGTTCGTCCACCGATCTCCGTTTCTCAACTCATCTGGACTTCGTTTGTTTCTGTTGCTTTTTGTAATCACAACAGCAGGTTCTGAAGCTTCAGTTTCGAAATCCATATCTCTAACGAAACGTTTCCTTGTCACTTCCTTGTTTATTTTATATTGGTGACTTAAAAATTCTTCTTCTGCTCTTCTTTTGAGGGAAAACAATTTTACAAGTTGCAACAGGGCCGCCATCTTAAATTTTACCGCCAAAAAAACACTCAAGTGCCCATTCCTTTTTATTTCGCTGCACGTAATAGTTCGCATTGTTCATCTGTCGAAATTCGTCTTGTTATTCATGCCGTCTTTACACCAGACGCATAACATGAGAGACGCATTATCCGTCTGGACGGATAATGCGTCCTCTAGTATAAAAACGGCTAATGTTTGCTTTTCAAAAGCTGCTGTTCTAGTGATGCTAATTTGGGTTCTTTCCTGTAACTTTTTCAAACTGCACTTAGTTCATCATTGTCACTTTTAATTATTTTGTAATATATGATGGCAATGTGTCTCTTCTATACTTTTCTGAGGGAAACAAACTACTGCTAACCGGTCGTTTCGCCTATGTGATCGAAGTCATTTCGCCTACACGATCTGAGTCGATCCGCCTGCATCACGATACTAAAAAGCACAAACAAATGAGCTAATAAACTTGAAGATCACCAACAGGACAAGTTTATGTGCCAAAAAAAGGAAATAAATTACATCTTTAACTTGAAATGATACAGGTGTGTGTACATATGTTTTCGTCGAAGCGAGAAGTCACCTTTACTAGCTTATAATGCTGAAGTGACTCGCATAATGTGAGTGTGATTTTTTCTGCTTTGTCATCAACTTCCCTCTTGTTCGGACTTGTGACTTTATAAACAATAACAGCTAATTAGTGCCTCGTGCAAGGTAAGTGTGATTTTTTTTTGTGATTTTTATTCCTCTCAGTCTTTCACAGCAACCAGTTAATATAGAAATGCTGTCAATCTGGGAAAGACATTCCTTGGCTCAGCTGATGGCACTGCAAATGCGTTTGGTTAAAAAATAAATAAATAAATAAAAA